GAACCAGCCCCCCCCTCCCCTTCTGACCCCCCTGCCCCCACAGACGTGCAGAAGTTCCCGCTGCGGATGAAGGACAACGACTTGCTGGTGACGGAGCTATACCGCGACCCCGCCGAGGATGCCGTCACCGCGCTCAGCGTCTACCTCACCCCCAAGACAAGTAAGATTCCCCCCGAACTGCTCAGAGCCCTCCCCACAGTCGCTGGGATTCAACCCCACCGGAGAAATAGTCGTTCTCCTGCGACTAGGAGAACGCAGGAGTCCTGGTTTTCACCCCCGCTTCCTTGCTGTATAACGCAGCAGGTCCTGGGAATAGGACCCAGGTGTCTAGGCACCAAGGGGTGGGAAGGGGGTTCGGGTGCCAGGCAGAGGCCATGGCTTGACCCGCCGCCCCGGGGCCCTGCAGGCGACAGCGGCAACTGGATCGAGATTGCCTACGGAACCAGCTCGGGGACGGTGCGGGTCATCGTGCAGCACCCGGAGACCGTGGGCTCTGCGCCCCAGCTCTTCCAGACCTTCACCGTGCACCGCAGCCCCGTCACCAAGATCATGCTGTCTGAGAAGCACCTCATCTCCAGTAAGGGCTGTGGGGGGCACGGGACAGGCGGTCTATGGGGCGGGAGTGAGGGGCACCGGCAGGGCTGGGGGTCGGGAGTGACGGGCACTGGGGGGCCGCGGCCCTTCTCACCCTGTGACCCCCCTCGTTGCAGTCTGTGGCGACAACAACCACGTGCGCACGTGGACCGTGACACGGTTCCGGGGCATGATCTCCACGCAGCCGGGCTCCACGCCCTTGGCCTCCTTCAAGATCCTGGCGCTGGAGGCCGTGGATGGGCACGCGGGCTGCAGCGCTGGCACCGACATCGGTGAGCTGGTGGGACGGGGTGGGGGGCCAGGGCCTGGGGGGCTGGGCTAGGCTGGGCTGACCGGTCGCGTGGCCCACAGGCCCCTTTGGGGAGCGGGACGACCAGCAGGTTTTCATCCAGAACGCCCTTGGCCTCCTTCAAGATCCTGGCGCTGGAGGCCGTGGATGGGCACGCGGGCTGCAGCGCTGGCACCGACATCGGTGAGCTGGTGGGACGGGGTGGGGGGCCAGGGCCTGGGGGGCTGGGCTAGGCTGGGCTGACCGGTCGCGTGGCCCACAGGCCCCTTTGGGGAGCGGGACGACCAGCAGGTTTTCATCCAGAAGGTTGTGCCCGACGCCACCACCGTGCTCGTGCGCCTCTCGTCCACTGGCAAGAGGTGAGCGGGGCCCTTGGGTGGGGAGTGGGGCCCGTCTTGATCTTGGCATCGAACCCAAGCCCACCCCACTCTGGTGCTGCAGGATCTGCGAGGTGCGCTCGGTGGATGGCGCCGCCATCACGGCTTTCACGGTGCACCAGT